CAAAAAGCAGCAGAGAGAACAGCAACCCCCAGCCACAAGCAACGCAGGTTCCTCCCCCAGCGTACAGATCTCACGAGACGCTGCCCGGCTCTCTGCTCTGTTCCTTCTCTGAGAATTGCACGTTTCTTAGTGAATATTTTTGAATAAACCATTTTAACCCCCTTCCCGGGCACTGGGGGAGTGGGGTGGACGGGACAGCGTCATTGTGGAAAATGCGAAATCAATAGTCTCCAGACAGCTCTGAAGGAACCGAACCACAGGTGACGGCCGGGCCTCAGGCATTGAACGTCCTCAAGCTACAGTGTCATGACCAACAAAAATAGTCTTTCTCGTGCTCATTAAATGGATGGATAGATGGATGAGTGGATGGGTAGATGGGTGGATGGAGGAATAGAATAAAATGCATGTGTAATAACCTTGAAATTTCTACCATAGGCAAATGTTTTCTTGGATTTAAGTAACCAATTTTCATTAAATATATATACCCCTGAGGAGATGGCAGACCAGCCTCCTGAAGACCCATCTTGAGAAAGCACAGAATCCGGGCTTCCTTTACGTCAGGGGAAGGGGACGGGAGGGGTGCGAGGTCGGGAGGTGACCCAGACGTCTAGATGCCAGTGAGGGGGGTGGTGAAACTTCTTTGCTTTTGGTCAACAAACCCAGTTGCCGTGGTCCCAGCCCCGAGGGTCTCGGGAACCTTTTGATCGGCAATTGTGATTTTCATACGTACCTCCCTCATCCCTGGGAGGGAGTTTCGAGCAGGGAGGCTGTTTGAGTAGTTCCCAGGCTGCAGGTTGGCCTGTCCGCGTGCGGGGTTGAGCAGAAGCTTCCAATTCACATGTGTGGGGACAGGGCAGGCCTGAGCACGACAGAGTCGGAAGGCTGATTATTTTATCCATTATGGCTGTACCAGTCCAGCTGTGTTTTGTGGGGGTCTCGTCCACACCAAACAGCCGGCCTCGAACACAGAGCGGCCCCAGCCTCGTGGGTTATAGGACCTGCCGCAGGCTGAGGGCTCACGCCAGCGGTGCTTGTGTCCCAGTCGGCGGCTACTGGGAACTCCGGCGAATCACTTGACCGCAGGTATCTTGGAAGTGGAGGTGACAAGGGACATGGGCCCCAGAGTAGAAATGGGGATTCGTGATGCATCTCAGCTCCCACTCGCCGTCAGGGCAGTGTGGTAGAATCGGGAGCGAAAACCAGAGACCTGACGTTCCGACACGCCGCCCCCGAGAGCCTGAAGCCGGCGCGAGCTGTTTCTTCGTGCTGTAACCCTCGGGAGACCGTGACCTGCAAACGCAGTGGCCTTGAGTTTTCAAAGTGTTTACTTTCCAACAGGCGCTCTGATACTGGGGTGCCCGGGCCCCAGGGGAGGAGGTCCCTGCCAGCTGCTGTCCCTGCCTCTGCCCGAGCTGCCCTTGTCTGCCCTCCGCTTGCTCTTGGCTGAGACACAGGAGCCTGGTCTCTGATGAGAGGACATTGTCCCTGGACACAGCAGGGAGGACATCATCCCCTGAGGTGGTGCCTGCCCGGAGCAGTCACACTGAAGCTCTGTTTCAGACCACCCCCAGCCTCCCGCCTCTGCCCTGCCTGAGCCCCCACGCGGTCAAGGCCGTCTGCTGCCCTCTGGCTAGAGCACCCTTAACAACATCGCCGTTAAGTGTGAATATTTCTAGCTGAGAATAAGATCTGACTCATCCATCCTCCAGGCAAATTTCCAGCTTCAGACAGGAAGCCAAAAATGCAGCTTCAAAGCCTGAAACCAGCGCCTGCAGCACGTGGGGACCAGGTGAGCGAGGTGAGTGAGGGCACAGGTGCGAGCCTGTGCGGTGCCCGCGCTCTGCTGCCGGAGTCCCTGCCCGGGGCCTCGGCGGGGGATGGGATGTGTCCTCAGTCCTCCACTCGCTGCCCCTTCCACCTGACTTCAGGGGACACGCTGGTTACTGAACATAATTAGCGTCTTACACTTTTAGGTGGTTTTAAAAAACTAGGAAGGCTTTAATTATTCAGACTTTGACTCGATGGTGCTCTCCCAAGGTCACCTCTTGCACGGGGCCAAGTTCCTGTCTGATCATTTCACGACTCACGTCACGGGGAGACAAGCAGCCATCTACGCAAACGGGATTATGGTCATGTAAGTGGAATCGGAAGGGCGTGTTACGGGTGGCCTCGCGTGCAAAAGCCACTCCACACATTTGTGCGATTTAGCAGACGTTTGATCCACCTGTGGGGTGTGGCCATGAACTCGAACCAGCTTTGACTCCAAGGTGCCCCCTGAAACGGCTCCAGGGCATCAAGTTCGTCTGGTTGCTCTTTCTGGAGCCAATCCTGTGATCTGCCGCTGTCGAGCTGTTTTAAGGCTGGGAGTTGGGGCTGGAGCTACAGTGGGCCTCAGGCCCCTCTCCCAAAGTGAAGCGCAGGTCATAGGTGTGGGCTTCCTAAGCTTCGACATCCTGGTGCGATTAGGAAGTGTAAACATTTAGGAAATGATTGGCCTCCCTTCCCAAATAGCCCAATGAACCCTTCGGTAAGAATGGACCCCGCACGCCCCAAACTGATGGACAGGCCCACAGGGATGGTCACTTCCTGACAACAAAACTCAGCGTTTCAGAGGCGGGATGTGTTACTTTGCAGTTTAAGCCGAGGATACTGGTCTGCAGCCCTAGCTCCTGACCCCAGCATGGAGAGAAGCCGGGCGCGTGGTGTGCCGCGGTCCAGGCAGGCCAGCTTCGTCCTTCTGGGAGGTGGCGATGCTATGACCGAGCGAACCCGGGACTCCAGCAGCAGAGCGCCAGGGGTGGTGGGGTGGCCTCGGAGCATCGTCCCTCACTCTCTGATGCTCCTCTGGAGATTTGCTTGTCACACGCAGAATGCGGTGGAAGTACCCGTAGGTCATTTTCTGCATAACCACAGCACGCTCGTTGGCTTTATCCTGGCTCCCTCCCTTGCCTCACTCTGGGGCGAGCCGGCCATGTCACAGAGACCCAGGAGCGCTGGGGAGAGGCCATGTGGTGAGGGACGAGGGTCACCGCCAACAGCCAGGGGAGAACAGAACTCCCCTGCCAGGGGCCGTGCGCGTCACCATCGAGGCAGTGGGCCCCCGGCCCCGGCCGAGCCTTCGGGTGACAGCGGCTCCATCCAGCACCTCGACTGCAGCCTCAGGAGAGACTCTAAGCCACAGCCACGCACCGAGCTGCCACCACAACTCTGAACTGCCACACTGAGCCAGCGAATGTTTGCTGTTCGAAGCTGCGAAGTTGGTCTCACACAGCGTAACTAATGCGGAAGAGGAGAAGGTGTTTCTGGGCCGTCACCCCGACTCCACGGGAGAATGTGGCAGGTACGTGGGCGAGGCGCGCGCCCAGCAACGCGGGCCGGTAAGGTTTCCGAAGCTTTAGTGACGTGAACATTTGCCAGAGTGGAAGATGTTTGTCCCCTTGGATATGCGTATGCTGCCTACACGTTTATTAACCTTCTTCCCTTGTGTGAGTCTAAAAACCCTGGAATTTGGCCGTGAGAACCAGAGCTGGCGCCCACAGGCGGGACACAGGCAAGCGCCCGCCCCTCACGTGTCTTCCTGCAAACCTTGCCCGCGTGTCAGCGTAGACCCTGTAGGGGTGGTGAAGCCCGTCAGGGCGAGATTGTTTTGCTTGGAATAATTCCTCCTTGGTATTTCTCACGATTAAGGTTTTAATCCACCTGAACAGGGCAGGAGGGTGCATGGGTTTTACGTAGCCATCGAATACCTACATCTACCCTAAAAACCTTCACGACGATAGTGACAGCAACATGCATTTCTAAATTATTCTGAGAGTCAGATTTGTAGCACTATTTTAAAGTACTGAAATAGTATTTTTGTTGGCATACTGCAATTACACCGCTACTTAAAAAATTAAAATCAGAAGTGCTTAGCATTTTAAAATTACTATCGCTGGCTCAATTACTTGACTTTATGTAAAACAGAGGAGCAGTGCGCAGTGTGGCAGGTTTCCCCCGGAAAAACTCGCCCACACTCAAGCGCCTCTCACGAGCAAGGGCGCCATTGATACCTTTCGGGATAAAAATAATACCAAACAGCACGTCATTTTAATTTTTATAGATTTCGTTATAATGTTTAGTTATATCTTTTAATAAAACTTTATTTTTGTTTAGGTGCCAATAATATTAGAATGACACTATGTTTATTATTTATAAGTTGTAATTTATTAAATGTTTTTAATAATTTAAGAAACAAAATACAAATGCTCAATCGCATTTTGTGACATGTACCAAAATACCTACATGGACATTTTTCCTCAGTGTAGCAAGAAACCCGTAAATTTGTCCCTGGAGGGTCGAGTTGCCATCTGGACACTTTGCCTGCAATTGGGATGCGCGTTCACCAGGGGGCGCTGTCGCTGCGGGACTCTCTCCCCACAGGCTGTGTAACAAAAAGAGGACCCGGGGTCCCCACCCAACTCTGCTTCCTCAGCAAGGATAAACCGCACGAACTCGAAGTCACGTCTTCCGACGCGGCCTAAAGTCGCAGGACGACAGCAGTTATCACCGAGACGCTCATGCTCGCTCCGTCAGCAGTGACGCCGGGGGACGCCAGCCCAGCCCAGCCCAGCCGTGAGGTCGACTCTGGGCTCGAACGTGGCTCCCACAGTATGACCCTCCCAGGAAGGTCGGCCACGGTCCAGCAACAGGAGGGTGTCTGTGCCGGAGCGTGGGGGCCGCCCGCTGACCCTCGGCGTGCATCAGCCCTGGGGGACGGGCTCAGGGGGCCTGGGTGCTGCTCGGTGCCCCCGCCCACGCTGGTCAGAGGAGGGGACCGCAGCCGGACCCCGCTTCTGACACGTTCACTGTCTGCTTGGTGCACACAGACTGGGGGCGACCTGGACATCCGCTAGTTTTAGGGGGACAGAGGGAGAGCACATGTCACTGCGACAGGTCAGCAGCCAAAGCAGAGAAGCTTCTCTGCCTGAACACACACCTGGTTTCCTGTTACGGCTCCCTTAGCCCCAGGGGACGTGACGCAAGGTAAAGAGTCCTGGTTCTGGCTCCGGGCAGCTCCTGGCTGGGCGCCTGGGTGGGTGCTCAGCCCCCGACCCTCTCAGAGGGGACGCGGACAATTGCGCGGAGGGCTCACGGAAAGCACCTGGTGCTCGGAGATTTTAAAACTCTGCTGTTCCCTACTTTTATTACGTTATGGCCTCGGTTTTCCTCTTTGTAAATAACAGTTTCAAAGCAGATGATATGTGAAGCTGCCGTGAAGCTCCATTCAGGTCTCCTGAGCAGACGGCACTGATTAACGCGCTCGCTCTTGCAGATGTTTTAGAAAGACCCGCAGAAGAGGGGTCCGTCTCCCCGAAAGCAAGCCCTCCCCCTGCCATGTGTCCCCTGGTCTCGTAAGTGCTCCCCGCTCGAACACGGAGGTGTGTCCCTTCGTCCCCTCGCCCGGCATGTCCCAGGCGCCCGTTCGGCACAGTTTGGGGGCTGAGCTGAGCCGGCCGGTGGCAGGAGGACAGACCGGCCGGGCCGTCGCAGTCGTGGGCACAGTCGGCACAGCATGGAGCGGGGCGCAGCTGCGCAGTAACTGCCTTAATGTCTGTGAGCTTCACCGGGCTCAGCTTCACCACACGCTACGCGGGACCCTCAACCCTGCGTCCTCCCTGAACGCCGCCCGCCTTCCTGGGCGGCGCTGGCCCCTCCTCGTGCCCTGCCGATGGCCTCTCTTCCTTTCATTCTTTTCTCCTGGGACCATCATCTCTCCACGTGGTGTTAATGACCGGTGTGACAGCGCCCCCTAGGGGACGTTTTTGGCACATCCGAAAATCTCAGAATAAGGGACACACTTCCGTGTCCTCTCTGTTGTCACAGGGACAGCTGGCACTCTGGCTGGGAGCCGGATGCTGAGTGGCCGCATGTCCTGGAGCGACGGGGACGTCCCCGAGGTGCAAACGCCTTCCGGTTCTGCGCACAGCGTCTCGGCCCGCGCCCCCTGGAGCTCTGTCTTCATGCGGAGCCTCGTCGTGCCCTGGGTCTACCTGGAATGCTCGGACGCCGGCCGGGGGACGCGAAGGCAGGTCGCCCTGGGCTTTGCGCGGAACGTTCACTGGTCTGCGTTGTTTGACGGCCACATGACATCACAGTGTTGGTCTGCGTCTTTACCTATCGCACCTGCGCCGCGGCCAGCCAGCCTAGCAGCCCTCGGGTCCCGTGGGCGATGGCCCCTGAGCACTTGCACACCGACCCCCCGGTGCCCTCGTCCAGGGCGCCCACAGCCCGTCAAGCTGACACGTAGGATTAACCATCACAATGCTTCCTTTAGCTCCGCCCTCACGTGGGACATCACCGTCTGCTGCTTTTTAAGGAGGCGGAGCTGTCTGTGACCCCCTCGAAGTCCCTAAAGGAGAGTCGCGTCCCGGTGTGGGGTGCGGGGTGTGGCCTGGGGACGTGAAGCCGTGCTCGTGGCCGTGGTCCCTGGCGCCTCTGCTTCTCCGGGCACGGCTGCTTTTCCAGGCTCCCCCAGAGACGGAAACGCTCAAAGCTCTTCAAAGAATCTATGTCTAATGCGGAGAGTTAGACACGACAAACAGATGGAGGCCAGGCGGGGGGTTTCCCAGCGCCCCTCAAATCGTGTGTCGCAGACAGCTGCGCAATCTGCCCTTCACGACGAGAAGCGGGGTCCGACTCTCAAGGATGGCCTTTGAGCCGAGCACGACACCAAGTCAGCGATCCTCAGGCAAGAGGGGACCGCGCCAGGCTCCGGTCCCAGACCAGGGAGTTCTGTGTCCCCAGCCACAGGCCGGACCCATCCTGGTTGCCCCTCGGACGCAGTCACAGGAGCCCTCACAGCTCAGGTCTCTGCGTCATCTCTGCTGAGAGGGGCCGGCTCACAAAGCCGGACGTGGCCTGTGGCCTGCAGGTTCTCCACGTGCTTCCTCCACTGACCCCTCCACTCGACGTGACTGAGGAGCCTCGTGCTGGATCCAGCCTCATGTGACACTGAAGTTTGACCTTGTGGGTCCCCGAGCCCCGGGAGCCCGGCAGGGAAGGGTGACAAGCCTCACTCTCCCTTAGCGCACGAAGGCCGGAGACGAGATCCATCCCTGGAGACTGCGGGCGAACTCCCGTTTTCGTGCAGATTAGCACTGGAATGACACACGGCGGCGGCTCCACTTCAGTCAGTCAGGAAGTCGCTCCCACTCTTCCCTCCTTTTCTGGGTGATTTTGAAAAAAGAATATAAGTGGGGGCTCTGAACTCCCGGAGGGGCCGCCCGGCGCGCCCGACGCCTTGGACCGCTGGGACGTCACGACAGGGCAGAGTCACCTTCCAGCGGGGCCTAGGACAAGCTCGTGTCCCCAAGGACTGTTTGCGAGGGTGACGAGGAAGCAGATTTCACGATTACTGGGCCAGAAGTTAGAAGCGCCGTTCAGGATCGGCGTCACTGTGCTGCGTCACCTGCACCAGCAGCGATGCCTGCCTTCCGTTGTCACCGTCCCTCCCCTTCTCACGAACGTCCCTTCCCTTTGTCTCCTACGAGGAACACTCTTTGGGCTCCTGGCAGAATCTGTGCCCCCCGAAGAGCTACCCTTTCGGATCTCAAACAAACACCTGTTGCCTCTCGCTTCAGCCTCTTGCTCTCAGGCTCGCGGGCTCCCCGGGGCACTGAGGCCTCTGAGCAGCGGCGCGGGGCTCTGACGGGGGTCCCGGCTGGTCCTGAGGTTCTGAGATCGCAGGGCGGCCTGGCGGCCAGCACCGCGCTGCGGCTTTGAAAGCCGCCTTGAAGACGGTCACAGTCGTTTGTTGACTTACAGCGAGTCACTTGGATTCTTTGCCCTTCCAGGCTTCTCTGCCCAGCACTGAGACTGGTTTCTTCACTGCCCCGTCCATCGCGCCTGGTGGCCTTTGCGTCACGCTCACTGAGCGGCCCGGTCGGGGTGCCGCGGGTACCTGCGTGGCCGAGCCCGGACGGGAGGGACCGGGCTTCCGTTCACGCCGCCCCTGCCGACAGGGAGGCAGGAGGCTCTGTTTTGTTCGGCGACGCTCCTGGTCCCTAACTAGGGACGAAGGAGAGATGAGCCACCACCCTTTCTCCTGGTACCCCGCCTGTAACAGACGGTTCACCAGCCCTTCTACGGGCGCCTTCTTCACCTTGGCACGTCCTGCATCTCTGGGGAGGACCCTGGGGTCCGAGAATATCCGAGAGGAAGCCTGGGCTTGGACTCAGGCTGACGGGGTGGCGCTTGTGGCCCGGACAGCCGCATGTTCGTCCAGACCACGTCGTGCCCACCGGCCTCTCCTCCCGGCCAGCAGGGCCACATGGCAGGTTCCGGCCCGTGGGCAGTGGCTCCTTGCGGGCTGGCTCTGGAAGCTTCCGTCAGAGGCGGGGCCTCTCTTCTCGCTCATCTCTGGCGGAAGGGCGAGGGCCCCAAGGGACCTCTGCGCGGCCTCGCGGGTCATTCACCAGGAGGGTGTGTGGCGTCGAGCTGCTTCTGTGTGAAAGTTAACGTGCTGGGGTTAAGTGTGGGGTCAGCGGGCACCGCCCAGAGACGCGTGGGCTCGTTCTAGTCCCCTTAGACCACCTACACGCGGGGGCATGGGAACTCCTGCCGTGCTGCGTTCCAGCCATGATCACAGGGTGCGACATTTCGGGGTGCTCCCTGGCTGGCGTCTTGCCCGGGCAGGTGCTCGGTCAGTGTCTGTGTCCAGCCGGCCCCTCCACCCGGGACGCCTGTAGCTGCTTCCTCAGCCTCCTCCCTCACGGCAGCCATTTGCGTGAGGCTGGAGCCGCCACAGCTGCCCGTGCACGTCCAGGGGGCTGCTGCGGAGCGATCCGGAAGCGCGCTCCTCTTCGAGTGGACACTGAGGGGTTTCTTGTCCTGAGCTAAGGTGGCTTCAAGGATGCTGGCCTGGTGAGGAAGCCCCTTTCTGAGGGACCACGGGGCCCAAGGACGCTCCCCGGGACGGCATTCAAAACGGACTGAACGACGCACATGCGCAGCACACACCGCCTGTGTGTCTCACACGCAACATAAACATACCACACGTGCACACATACTCGTATGTCACATGTAGGTGTCAC